CTTTTGTTTGAGAATCAACAAATTGGTGCAGCTATCATGGTAAAATTTCCTTCTCTGCAAGCTGTGTGCCATTGCTAATTTTCAGTAGGGACTAACATACTTTTAAATTTGTTTCAAACTTCCTCTTATATTTGCAATATTCAGTTCTTCCTTGTCATTATCATGTCAAAATGTCTGGTTTATACTTTAAGTCTGCAGGAAATTTTTGTGACTATCAGTCCAACTGTAGACAATACACAGTAACTAGTTTTGTTAGTTATTAAAATTGTTTCTTTATTCAACTTTTAAAATTTTTAATGTGTAATTTTGTCTATTGTCTTTTATCTCGTGCCATGTTTACAATTTGAAATTTGATTTTAGGCATTAATCATGGTTTTAAAAATGGAATTATCTTGCATTATCTGCCTACAAAATTTTAAAAAATATCTTTTTTAAGAAGATGGTGCTGTGATCATGAAAATTGACGTAATTCGTAACTCTTAAAAAAAATTAGTATTGATAGTTTCTTCAACAGTTGTTTTTGTTGTGCAAGTCTGAATTTTCATTCTGTGTGATTTTCTAAGTTATCATTAGAACAAAATAACTAAAAGGGATTTTAGAGAGGTTTTCAAAATTTTTTATATGTATTGGACACTGATAGCATAGATTTTCACTATTCAAATTTTCAATCAGACGTTTGGGTATTGGGTATAAAAATATGTGCTTGATGACATCACTAATCGTAAAATATGCTTGTATCACGTAAGACCCTTCGAGGTTAGTTTTTGTGGAATTGCAGGAACCACAGATGTCTGATTGAAAATTGGAATGGTGCAAATTGATGCTATCACTGTCCTCAATAAAAAAATTTTGAAAACCTTTTTACAATCTCTTTAAGTTATAATTAAAGGGGGAGTGTGCACCAGAAGTAATTCTTGTTTTATAAAACTGATTTTCAAAATTTTAACAATATTCAGTTTTAAATGATTATATAAATATTTCAAACGGTACAAAGTACAATGGTGCAGACTGCCAGTTTGAGAATATCTTCAAAAGGAATGTTAATGGTTACAAGCCTGCCTTTTGATTATTATTAAAGAAATATTTGTAGTATTTGTTTTCTGTATAGTATATATTTTATTAATTCAGAGGTGCATAATTTTCTTTTATCAAGCTCACTCTTTGTATTTTAACTTTTAGGATCTATTTTATATTTGTCAAATTCCCACCTCATCCTTTCATCTTCTTCACAATGTCGAGCTGTTGCAACCTTAAGCTACCTGGACTTCAATAGCAGTTTATTTTGAATCAATAAATCCAGTGATATGATTGGATCGTAGGTCAGCCATTGACAAAAACACTAAACATTATAGCTTGGTATTGACAGACTCTTTGTATTTGCTATGGTACTATCTAATCAAATAACTTCAGTGATACAAGAAAGTTAAGTTGGCTATTGGAGTCAAGGTATATGCCAAGGTTGTAGTAGCTTGACATTGTAAGGATGTCCTTTCATATGATTGGTTCATATTTCTTCAGTAGGTGACACTATATAAGTATTTTATGGTGACACAATCTCAAAAGCTACTATTGGTAAACAAGGACCATTGCAATAGTGATTTAGTTTAGTGACATCTGATTTTAAGGTCCACTGATTTAGGTAAAGAATCTCGGAACATTCATTTGCTAGAACTGTGTACTGTTTCAGAATTAGTTGATATCTGATTTTGGCGTTGCTTTTTACTCATATTTTGAGGCAATTTTCTGTGTGTACCAAGTTAACAATCTGAGAATTCATGGTAAGAAATCATATTGAAATATGGTATTTCTGAAGAGATATGAACCAACAGCAATGTATAAAGCATACTTTCATTTCATATTCTATATTTTACACTTGAAATAAAATTTGTTATTGTTACTGAAGGCTTATTTTAAATAATGTTGTACATATTTTGTATATTAATATATTATATATATATCAGAACTAACTGGTTGTTTTTTTTTTATTGAATTTATTCCTTGCAAGACTAATCTTATGAATCCCAACATGCAGAATTAATGTTATATTGTTTTATTTCCTGAGAAGAATGTTCTGCAGCATGAAACCTATGAAATCTCCCGTACCGACAACTTATGCATATTGCATATCGTGTCTGAAATTTTCCATTAATCTGCTATTATTGCATATTGTTAATCTCCCTTAGAATTTGAATAGAATTGGAAATGAGTTTTACGTTTTTTGTACCCAATATGGCTTTTGAAGTAAATGTAGTTAATGTCATACAGTATGCAATGAGGGAAATTTTGGAGTCTCACTGAGTTAACACAGTCCCTTGATACAAGACATGGATTCAGAAAATATTATATATCATCAGGGTAGCCTGATAACTGTGGTCATACCCAATTCTTCAGACATGATATATGGTGTAAAATTTCCACTGTAGGAAGATACAGACTCTGTCAGAGTTGTTGGGCAAAGACAATGGTAATAACTAAAAAATAAGATTACAGTTTATTTCAGAAATTGCATTTCTCTTGTGAACTTCAAGATGCGTTCCATCAACCACTTCCCATAGTGATGAGCTTATAGAAGTACTAGCTGGTACCAGTTTTCAGAAGAAACTAGTATCATCATCTTTCTGGAGGTAATTCCATTAAGAACCATTACATTGATCTTTCATTTATCATGTAACGGAACTGAAATAATGAAATCACATACATAACAATATTTCAATAAAAATTTTTATATGGATCAAAATGTTTAATAGAGTAGCCTACTGGACTTAAAAATTCTACAACCTGAAAAAAGGTCGAAGAGCTCAAATCAAACATCCATTTACAGAGTTGGAAGATCAAAGGTTCCGAGAATCTCTAGCCCTACCCAAAGTAGAAAGCAGTTCCAAATCTCAGCTATTCCAATCAATAATATTGATTGCAAAATTACCAATTCAACATATGTTCTCACAATTCAACCCATTGTTTTGTGGACATATACAAATTACAGTGGTCTAAGGAAACTCCAACCCTACCTTTTGTATTATTTTTCACCAGCTTAAACAAAATTTACATATCAGAAGAGTAAAATTATTAGGATCAAGTGCAATGTTACTCTGTTTAGCCCGTTTTATCAACAATCTGATAGATCATGATTTCAGTCATCTATGGCACATTTTAGACTTAAAAAAATTTGGGCCCTTTCTCACAGAAACCCATGGAAAATTATTCTTAGTATTTCTTTTTCTGATTGGTCAGTTCTAGAAATTTATTTTAAATCTTGTTTCGCAAACCAATCAGATGATTGTGTTATATCTAATTTAATTCAAGAATAAGGACCAAGATGATTACTTTTTAAGAAGCAGGGAAACTCAAATAAAACACTGTATTTAGATGATTTGAGTATCATAATTTAATGATCTAATAGGAATATAACATGATAAAAATGAAAAATTCTTTCTTATAAATAATTGAACACCATGATCCCACGAATATCAGAATAAAAAGCGAGTTCATTTTCTACACAAGTTTTTAAAAAGTTCACATGATTCCATTTTTTTCTGGTGAAGCGTCATCTTTCAAAATACTCTCATTTCGCGGAAGCGTTCAACTATCTGTTTCAGCGTTTTTCATCAGTACGGTGCTCCGCGCCCTCGAAGATCGGCTTCACGAGCAGGAGGTGCTCCATAACTATACGCAGAAAAAAAAAATACAGCGTTCATTATTAACACATTTCAATATATTAGAAAAAGCTACAAATGATGAAAGTCTTCCTTTTGTATCTCTGGACATTGAGGTTAAATATCAGACGACAAATCGTATAGCGTATAAAATGAAGCGAATATCAAACAAACACCATACTGATGAAGCGACAGCGGTCGCGCATCTCATATCAATGAAGCGTGGTAATAATATACATTCAGTTATCAAACAAATTGTTACACAAGAGACATATTTTTTACGACTTACCCTCTTCTGTCATAATAGGGATCATAATATGGATCTCTGAAATCAAGATAGTCCACAATTATCACCGATTATTTTATCAATAACCTAACAACATTTAAACAAATATACTTATTCAGGCATATTGCACCTAATAAATACTATAACCTTTGACCATGTAGCTTCTTTAAAGGAAGTGTAAGGTTGCTTTTTCTAAAACTTTTATGTTTATATAGGGACAATAAAATCGATTAGTACACTAACCTTGGTGGTGGTGCTACTGCAGCTGCTCTTCTCGAAGCATAATATTCTGGTAATGGTCTTACATAGGGATCTCTTTCTCTGTACAAGTCTCTTGGGGGAGGGAGTGGTCGTCTGTCGTATGGATCACCATAGGGTCTGTATCTCTCTGGGGGTGGGGGTGGACGATAATAAGGGTCTCTGTAATAAGGGTCATACATATCTTCTCTATATGAATCTCTGTACTCCGGTTGTCTTGGCCTTGGTCTGGATCTAAAAATACAATTTCTTTCACTCAAATATTTCTTAATAGCTGATCTTATTCTGCCATTGATGTTAAGATTCACAATCTACATAATTTGACCTCAAGTATGGTCAAAATTTAATCCACTTTAATTTTTGGTCCGGACTTTTCTGCCTTATCCTAACAGCCATGTTGAGTAATATTCATGTCCAAGAGACACAGACGCAAACAAATTTACATCGGGTACTAATTATTATTATGCAGAATTTAATTTTTATGAAGGGCTATTCACTATTTCAATATTTGCTCTAGTTTCAAAATGTAATTTCATGAATTATAATCAATACTTACGATCCCTTGGGACAATCTTTAGACCTGAAAAACAAAAATCAATTTATTAGTATAATCCATAAGTAGTCTTACCTTTTTATGATTTACATAAAAGAATTGCTTGATCCATAACATGTAGATATTGGTCAAAATGTCAAAGATCCAATCACAATTCAAAGCTCTGAACAAAGTTAATTCGTTAATTAAAGCGAATAACAAATCTAATCTGGTGCTTAACTAAATACTTATGCTTCTCCTACAATTCAACCTACCAATGACCTTCTCTACCACATCTAAAACACTCTCCTTTACCACCCATACCAGGCTTGGGCCGCACTCTACTTTTAGATACCTCCACACGTAACTTGGAACCACAGAAAAGAAAACCATTTAAATTTTCTACTGCACTATGGGCCTCTTCTTCAGTTGCATAGTGCTGAAATTAAAAATATAGAATATAACCTTTTTATACTGTATCACTTTTCAGGATTTGAATCAAACTGATGGTTCTTCTGCTATTAAACCAACAATACAATGCAGTGCAAGTTTAAATTTTTTCAGTACCATTATGCAGTTGAAGTAAATTTTAAGATAAATAGACCTATTATATTCCATCAACATTTATATATGTCAATACCAATTATTAAGTTTAAGCATAATATTGAACTACTCACAACAAACCCATAATCTTTGACCACATCACATTCTACAACTTGTCCTTCCTTCTCAAACAGAGCTGTTAAATCACCCTTTCTCACTGTTTCAGGCAGGTTTCCAACAAATAACTTAGTCACCGACATCTTAATATCTCTGCAGACAAAATAAAAATAAATAACATTGTTGTATTTCTTGTGGAATTTTTACTTTGATGTATTCTAATGGACTGCTAAAATTCAAACATAAGTATTATTAACGGTATCTCATTCGGAGGATCTTAGGCTTTTGGCTTAAGACTTCTCTCTCAACATGTCATCTCATCGACTTAAAAAGTTGGCTAACACGTCTATCACTTTATTCGGGTTCATAGAAATATAGGGTTCAGTGATTTTAAATTTGAAATACACACTTTTCATCAACCCAAAGGCAATCCAAGACTCTCTAAGTATTTTTTAATTGATATTTCAATGCATATCATTGCCAAAATTCATTCAGTAAAAATGGTAGTAAGAGGGTAACATTAATATTAGCTTAGAAAATGCTTCCTGATGACAGTGATGTTGACCTGATCTGTTTCAGACTGTTAGTGTTATAATCGGTAATCTCCTGGACAGTCATTCTGTTCTTGTCTGGGCACTTCTGCAAGTTCTCAATTTGGTTACAGTCAGCCGGGGAGAAATGCGATTTATTATATCAAATAATACAGCCAATTGACAAAGCTCCCAATACATGCAAAAAAATTGCAAAAAAATAGCAAAAAGATTTGAGCAGATTAAGTACAGATAGAATCTCGAGAGCAATAGACTTTCTATTACAGAAGAAATCTGTTTAACTGGATTCAAAACCAATGTTCCTTCTGAGGAAATACTTGAACGAAATATTCATGCATTTTGTTGTTATTTAACAGTCTACTAAAAATCTATTTATCTTAATAAATACCATAAAAGTTGAAAAAATACAAAGAAATGACTTCATCTTACCATGTAAGTTGTCTTGATTATCCAGTTAACGTAATGAATATAATTTTTAATAGTATCGATCAGTCTGGCTAATCGAATCAAAAAGACTGTAAGTGACACCTACTAGCGACAAATAGAATAAGGGGAGCTACTACATTTCAGACAACTGTTAAATGCTGTAAACTTTTTGTCAAGCAATAACAAAATCCTTAAATGGGGAACTTATGTCGCTAGGTCAAGAGTTAGATGATAGGTGAATGTTTAGACATAAAAACCCAAATATAAGAGACAACCATTTTACAGTGGTCTACAAAGACTAGCAGCGTATGTTTGGCCAAACCTTTTGGTGTTGACCTCTATGATTATTAGCAGGCCTACACATTTATAACTGAGTAGACTGGAATAAAAAGCAAAGTCAGCAAAAACTGACTGAGATTAGAACCAACAACCACCATTTGTTTAAAACGGAAAGCACTAACTCAAGGCAGTGTTACTCATCATTACAAGTGAAGTGACAAGAAAATTCAAAACATGATATATGGGTGTTTTATGTTTTATTTCTTCAATATTTTTTATAACAAACAATAACAAAATGAATGATAGAATAAAATGAATTTGAACAGCTGAACTTACAAATCATTAACAAAAACTAACTATAACAATGAGTCACACAGAGTCAAACTCGATCAGGAGGTTTTATCATCTGCAGAATGATCTCCTTCTTCTTTCTTTTCTGTTGTCTCTGAGTCACTATCTGAATCTGAGCTTGAGTCTGAGTCAGAGTCCGAGCTAGAGCTTGAGTCGGAATCTGAATCAGAGTCTGAATCAGAATCATCTTTGTCTGATTCCACAGACTCAGTTTTCTCCTTTTCATCATCTACGTTACTTTCATTAGCAGTTTCTATGTCGCTCTCCGGAGCACTTTCCAATGTCTTTTCACTTTCATTTTCTGCACTTTCTGACTCAGAAGTCTGATCTGAATCCAGACTTGATCGAGTCAAATCGTCATTTCCATGACTTGCTTCAACAGTTCTTGCAACATTCTCTAACACCATGTGATCTTTTCTAGATTCAGATTCTCGTTTCAATTGATCTTGTAAAATATGTTCTGGCATTCTCTCTAATCTGGTCTGAAAAAATAACAGAATTCAAAATCAGCAAAAAAAAATTTTCAAAGGCTGTGCACCTTATTTATGGAAGAGACAACCAAACATTTCAAGGTTTTAGAATCAATCTTTAAATATTTAATTCAAGTAATGACAGTTATTGGAGGGACCAAAACATTATTTTGTTTCCATTACAACAAATTATTGTTCCTGCCTGATAAATACTAATAAAAATATAATGACATACTTTAGTAATTTTCATAGCTACTCCTTCTGGTAAATTTCTCTGTAAATATTCTAGGAAAGTTTCAGCTGTTGATTCAGTCAGGTGTTTCAACTGAAAAGATTTTAAGTAACCATGGTTGAATATTTCAGTGAATTCAAAATGTACAGAAATGGCATAGTAACAAAGGGTTAGGTGATAAAGACAGAGCCAACACTAAGCAAAATCTTTATAGTTTGTGTCCAAACTTTCGAAATTTTCTGATTAATTAGGCTGCATATAGACTTAAATGACTAAATATGACTTATGCACTAAGTTCATAACTTTAATTCTGTGTCAGTGCCTCCTATTGAACCAATCATTGTTGATATCTGACAAGCACTTCTAGGAACATATGTCTGACAACATTACAGTAGCCTTTTAGATAACTGACAATCACATTGACGATACAGATGTCTGACAATCACTTAGAAGCGTCAGACATCTGACTATCATGGAAGTATCATATCTGACAGACTCAATAACAATTCTAACACTTCTGATATGGATATCTGACAAACTCTTCTGTCTGACCAACCACACCCACTTCTGGTCTGAATGTATCACAAACACCTTGATAAATTGCCAAATATTTTCAAACAATGTAAGGAAGGCCTACCTCTATCATTTTATAATGGGTTCGAGCTTCATACAGAACTTTGTGTTTCTTAAAAACATGAACTGATTTTAAAACAGCATAGCGGGTTATGTCCCTTTTAGGTGTATATCTGAAAGATATGGGGTAAACAATGTTAGAAATTGCTTTTTTATGTGCACAGTCCTTGTACTATTTATTGTCCAATCTAAATGATTAGACCCTTTGTCAGGTCAGTACATCCAATATGCATCACTAACAGGAAAAAATTGGATCAACCTCATTAATTGTAATTAAGTGATGGTAATTATGTCAGTTTTAAGCCAAAACTTGTCTTTAAGGTTAAATCATCCTGCTGAGAAATTTCTTAAGAAAAAAGAAAAGAAAAGAAACAAACAATTATACATCTTACAACTTAAGTTCACAATTAAGGATCCTTTCTACCAGCAGGTCCTTGGCCAAACCCTTGGCATTGATCATTCCCTGATTATCCGTACCCATTTACAGTCACAGACTTGCAAGATTGGAACCCAGTCCCTATTTGCTCAACATAATCAATCAAAATGTTCTGGAATAAAACTCACATCTTAGAAATTTCAATGTCTAATTCTTTGGCAACCATCTCTGTGAATTTCTGATAACTTCTTATAACTCCAGTATCATGACATTTTAATTCCAGTAAAATACTCTTATATAAAATATCTAATTGGTCTGGATTTTGTATTTCCTGGAATAAAATAAGTTATCAATTTAAATCAACTAATTACCTTTTACGAAGACATGAAGAGAAATCGTTTTTTTCCAGAAGATCCAGTGTGATAAAGAAAACACAGCCCTAGATATTTTCCTTTCTTACAAGCATGTCATAGCTATGCCTTAAGCATTCCAAAAGTGTCCTAAAAGAAATGGCTTCATTCAATGAAATACAGACCTTTTACATGAATGATGATTGAAATAAAATTGCAATTTATGTTCTACAAGGTTATGGTATAGGCACAAAAAACAGTCCTTGTCACTGATTTTCGTCCCTGAATCAAATCTTGAGTAAAATTTCACATGTGTCTGGGCATCCATAACAAGACAGGATTTATAATATCAAACCAGTTTGAAATTTGTCACTGATTGTTTTATCGCCTGCAAGACAGAGTGTCATCATCCGATCAGATTCAGATTCAGTTTACTTTCAATTGCATGATCCCCACATGATTATCGACATAATGGAAAACAATCGACTGGAGATTTTTGTATCTTTGTGTGCCAGCACTATTAGCAAACATGTGTGCATTGTGCTGAACTAAAGAATTTTCTGTAATTAAATAATTTGTCTTACATAATCATTTGTATTCTTGGTTAATGATTGTGCTCTATATCTGTTAACTGTAGTACTAAAGTTACTGAAATGAAAGAAAGATATGAAGATGAGAACTTTTCTTCATGAACAACTACTAAAAGGAAACAAAAATAACTATAGATAAACTCAAGTCTTACGCAAAGAGCTACTGGATGTCAATCGTGTTGAAAGTTCATTACTTTGACTATGACAACTTAACAGGCAATCAAATCGCTGATGGCCTTCAGGAAAATGGCATAAACAAAACTTGGGTGTTGACATTGATGGACTTTAATATGAATATGTTGTTCTGTGCTTGAAGTGCATATTTGATCAATTTCAACGCACATTAATCTTGTCTAAACAATGTAATCAAGAAACAATTTTGGCTAGAAAGAAGAAAACGAGAATAGGAGTACTTGCTTTGCAGAAGAATAAACTGGAGAGAATAACAATCTTGAGTTCAAACATTTAGCACATTGTACCAATGACTGACTATTTACAATCTGAAAGGGAAATTCAAAAATTAGGAATACAGTGCCAATTTTTTTTTTTTTTTTTTTTTTTTTTTTACTTGCTCCTTAGGCCTAGTCTCCTTGTGACCTTGTTTCAGCCTAACCCTAATAAAATATTTGCAATTTGTTAACCATGCTTTTGAAAAGTAATCAATTAGTTTATTATCGATAACGGATGGCATTTGCATTACTTTTAATATTAAATTACCTTTCTCAAGCCGATTTGCCGGAGAGTAAGAGAAAAACTAAAAATTTTGGAAGCCATGATGTTCCTATTGAGTTCCTGCGGGACTACTACGGCTCAGATTATTTGGTTTTAAAAAAATGACAATAATTTGCTTTATTGTTTATATTACCTTTAGTAATAAGAATCTTCTGATTTCATAAAAAAAAATTATCTGACAGATTAATTTTTTTTTAATATTTCATGCGCGAATGTATTAATGAATGTATTTCGTTTCGATTGTCAAGTTGTATATTTTCATGATTCATTTCTTTCGACTGGAAAGTTGAGACTTCATTTTTGTTCCGCAGTTTACGTTACTAGGTAACGAGATTACAGCGTCAAAATGGTTGGTAAATATTGATATTTTTTCTTCTGCATTTACTGAAACGTGACATTCTGCTAATAATTGATGACCCAAATATTTCTATTGTCTGCGTACTTGGAAGTAATATTGCATTCGACCTAGTTGAAAATGGTAATATATGGCTTGTTAACTGTCATTTTTATTTGAATGAGATTTTTTTTTTGGTATATTTGGCCTACTTACTTATATTAAATATTAGGCTATTAGGCTATCCCTAGAAAATCTGTGACTGTAAGCTGCTGTCTGAACGAAAATGTGTTGCTCTCCTACCATGATGGCTACGTTACTGGATCACATTTTCCAAACCTTAGCCTACATTTCTTGAAATTGTAGGCCTGTTTGAATTGATCTGATTTAGACCTAGGCCTATTTGACTCATTGAGTCTGTGATTTGAGAAAATATAAATTCGTTCCGAGTACGTTTATGGTTTGTCAGAGAGTAGCCTAGTTGGAAGGTGTTTTAGAATTTGTTAATCTTGTTGGCATATTCACCAAAACTGATGTGCTGCTACACTTCAGTCTAGTAGTAGTAGGTTTATTATTGGAGTGAATGATTTATAAATGATGTGTTGTAACTATCTTTTTATCATTTTAGTCTAAAGGAACCACAATTAAAGAAGCCCTTGCTAAATGGGTAAGTTTTGTGTACAACATAGTATGATTATCTCAAGATCTTGATTTTATTTTTTAAATTGTAAACAACCATTAATAACTTTTGTATTTTAATCCAATTTTAAGTTTTATAACACACTAATCAGATTATAGGCAGAAGAGTTTTGATGTTGTTTTTTTATAGGAAGAGAAAAATGGAGCTAAAGCTTCAGAATCAAAAGAAGTCAAATTATTTGGTCAGATTCCACCTGTTGAAAAAATGGACGCATCCCTATCTACTTTAGCACAGTGCGAGTAAGTAGACTATATTTATTTATTATTTATTTAAAGTAAATATACATCTCAAACTTCTACTTTGAAACCAAGATAAAATATAGAAAACTTGGATATAACTCTGAAAATCCAGAATTGACAGGTTGTGACATCTTGAAAACTATGTATTTTTTCCTTTTTTGAATGCTGAATGCAGGAATTTTGTTAATGAGTCTTTATGTTTTGTAGGGTGTTGTCTTTATCTACCAATTCCATAGAAAAAATTGCCAATTTAAATGGCTTGAGTAAGTATTAGACTTGTTTTTTAAAATTTAATTTTGAATGAATTTAATTAATTTCTTAGAAAATTCTGTTTTAATATTTCTTTATGGCTCTACAATTGATGTATTGAGCACTAACAATGGGAATATTTTGTTATTTTCATTAATTTTTTATATTTTGTTAATATTCACTAGGAATTGTTTTTGTTTGATTTTATATTGAAATTGTCATTATCATAGTTTACATTAACATAATTATCTAAAAATAAGGATCGAGTCAAACCTAAATATTTGTGGGCTAAAAACGACATGTATGTATTATTCTTATTCTTATTTGCAGAACATTTACGAGTTTTGTCCCTTGGCAGAAATAACATCAAAAGTTTAACAGGTTTGGTAAGTTATTTTTTAAGATATAAATAAAACTGTTGGTCTAACACGTGAAAATGCAGGAATGTTGAATGTTGTTATAATTTAGTAATGTCACAATTAGGTATTGTTAAAAGTCAATAAAAGTGACCATTGCACATTGTAATTAATCAGTGATGTCGCAATTGAATATTATAATAATTCAGTGATGTCACAATAAAATATTGTAATAATTCAGTGATGTCACAATAAAATATTGTAATAATTCAGTGATGTCACAATAAAATATTGTAATAATTCAGTGATGTCGTAATTGAATGTTGTAATAATTCAAAGATGTCACATTAGAATATTGTAATAATTCAGTGATGTCACAATAAAATATTGTAATAATTCAGTGATGTCACAATAAAATATTGTAATAATTCAGTGATGTCGTAATTGAATATTGTAATAATTCAGTGATGTCGTAATTGAATGTTGTAATAATTCAGTGATGTCACATTAGAATATTGTAATAATTCAGTGATGTCGTAATTGAATATTGTAATAATTCAGTGATGTCACATTAAAATATTGTAATAATTCAGTGATGTCCCAATAGAATATTGTAATAATTCAGTGATGTCACAATAAAATATTGTAATAATTCAGTGATGTCCCAATAGAATATTGTAATAATTCAGTGATGTCCCAATAGAATATTGTAATAATTCAGTGATGTCCCAATAGAATATTGTTATAATTCAGTGATGTCCCAATAGAATATTGTAATAATTCAGTGATGTCCCAATAGAATATTGTAATAATTCAGTGATGTCCCAATAGAATATTGTAATAATTCAGTGATGTCCCAATAGAATATTGTTATAATTCAGTGATGTCCCAATAGAATATTTATATATTGTATATTATGTTACACATTATGTTATTTTCAGGAAGCAGTAGGTGATACATTAGAAGAATTATGGATTTCTTACAACTTGATAGAAAAATTAAAGGGCATTAATGTATTAAAGAAAATTAAGGTAGGTTTCAACTGATATGTTTTTTTTATCATTATATAATAATTAGATACAAAAACCTGATTAAATTTTATTGTTATTAATTGTTTTAAAGTGTGACTTTGTTAAAAATTGATTAAAATTAAACCAAACTTTCGTTTTGTTTTTTTTTTTATTAACTATTATTTTTTATATAGTCACTTCAGTAAAAGTCTAACGACAGCCCTCTTGAGCTTTTGTCAGTTTGATGACACCGCCGCCCAATCAAATTTCTTGTCATTGTAATGCAGACAAAAGGTGCATTCAGTGTCAAATGCTTCTCGGAATGCACCATTTGTTCGCGACACAAAATCCCAGCGTTGGAAAGGGCAAAAATTTGATGAATGTTCAAGAGGGCCGTTGTTAGACCCTAACTGAAGTGGCAAAATTAAAATTAATAGCTAATAAATAACTGGACGAAAGTTTGTTCTAATTTTAATTAAACTGATTAATAATCACAAGAGCTAGAAATCTCCAGCAAACATCTTACTCTAAGAATCCAGATAGACAAAATATTTATTTCATTTCTATTTCAGATTTTATACATGTCTAACAATGCTGTGAAAGATTGGGGAGAGTTCCAGAAATTAGTAAGTTTTTTTTTCCAAATTTCAGCTCATATGTCAAATGGTGAAGGGTTTTTCCTAGGCATCGTTTAAGCTTGTCTCCTGAGCATCTAAAACCAACTTACACTCTTTGTTGATATGTGAACAGGCAAACCCGGTTTTTACTACCCAAATCTCTTTATAGGACTGCCCATTTGGCTATGGACATGCGCAGAACAAAAATCAAAGAAGATAAAACAAGAAATATTTACATATTAGAATGAATGTTCAAGTTAAAAGAAAACCACTCATTACTGTGTTTTAAAAAAGTAGTTCCTTCTCCTGCATCAAAACTTTATCAAATTCTAGCCCACAAACTTCAATTTTTTTTTTTATCATCTTTTTATTATAATTCTAGGCAGATTTACCCTGTTTAATTGATTTATTGTTTGTTGGTAAGTAGAATTCAACTACAGAATAAGTGTAATTGTTACTGTGTTATAAAACAATTAAAATGTCTTTTACTCAGCAGTAATGACTTTCTAATGTATTTTGAGGAGTGAAATCAAAAAAAAAAATAAGATAATGCACATTGTTTACAGTCGCTAGAAAAAAAATAATGGCATTTTCTAATCTATTTCTAAATATCGGCGAAATTTCAAAATGTTCAAAGGTTGTATTATTTTATACAGTATTTAATATCGTTTTAAAGGTAATCCATTGGAAGAGAAACATTCAGCCGATGGAGACTGGAGAGATCTGGCAGCAAAAAAACTTCCCAAATTGAAGAAATTAGATGGTAAGTAACCATTGTAAATCCTTGTTCATGAAGTTTTCCCACTTGCTTTTATTAATACAGGGACTGCATGGTTCAGTGATTTTGGTTACTTACTAGTTTACCTTAAGGTCCAGGGTTCATAGGCCAAGATATATCTTCAGATGCAGTTCAGAGGGGATGACATGAAAAATGTGTCAAGCTTTTGGAATAGGTAATAGATCAAGTCCCTGCTTCAGACTTTGCAGTTTGCACGTTAAAGATCCCTTGACAAGTGGAAAGAAATATAAGTAGGCAAATGATGCTGCTCTGGCAAAATTTCCTGCAAGGCACACTGCATAGCAATGCTAGTATTGCCAGTCTTCATTAGCAAAATAAGGTGTAGAAAAGTAAGATATAAAACACCATTTCATTTTTTATAAATCAATCCTTTGTCAGAATTTGTGATATATCAAAAAAGGAAAAACTCTTGCCGTGAAAAATTAAAAAAAAAATCAATACATGTATTTGAGATTTTGGTTGCCTATACCAATATTAAAAAAATATATCTGAAGTCACTTATATACTGTCTCGGAAGCTAACTGAAGCTTAAAATTGTATTTTCAGGTGTTCCAGTTATTAGAGAAGAAGAAGAGAATGAAGATTAAATATCTGATCATTTTCAATATTTCATATTTAATATTTCATTTTCATTGGCAATTTTTTAAGATTTCATTTTCGCTTTTCACTTGAATATTCTTGGAATGAAGGGCTTCACAGGCAGTCAACCAAATATAACATATAGAGTCATATGGTTAAAACTGAAAGAAAGGCCAATATCGGTTTTAATTGTGATATATTGTATAAGAGGCACTTTCTTTTTCAAAATGCCTTTATCCAAATTCTATTTTAGACCTAATTTATTATGAATTATGAAATCTGTGTCTGAGGGAAAGTTTTACAAAAAAAAACTTAATTCAATGAATTGGCAAGATATGAAGTGATTTGGACTGAATACTGACAAAATTTTGAAGCATGTTTCAGTGTTTGTTTTGTTTTGTTTTACTATGTAAATAGATCTGATAATTTAATACATTTTACATCAAAAATAAACTTTTGTCTCTGTTATATGCAAATTAAAGATCTTCAATACTATTGATCTGAAAAAATTCCCCCCATTGCATACATCATGGCATTGTCAGTCTGTTAGTCCAATCAGATGCATAAAAGGCTTAAATTTTCATTCCTTTTTTCTTCCATCCATCAAGTAATGTCTAAAGATAAAAACATTTTTTGAAAAATACATTACACCAATAATCAAGTAGTGACGAACAAAAGGGATTATGATCACACACTTTGTTTTATTTGAATTGACAAAGGACCACAGTACATGAATAAATAATAAACATTAGATAATTATTTACACCCACAGATATACATTGATATAATTTATACTTGGTAGCTCGTCCTTTGTTTCAAATTGTGAACTGAACTTATACGAATCAGTTATAGTTTCATTTTGTAGAGCTATAGTCTATGCAATTGCTTTATCCACTGAGCTCAATTTCAACTATTTGTGTTCCTTTTCAAAATTTGTCTACATCCCTTGCATGAAAGGTTAGAGTCGAATGTTGTCACTTCCAGGCCACAATTGGTCGACGTAGATCATAAATGGTCTGTGAAAATGTTAAATATGGCCTAGAGGTGACGAAAGCCTAAACAAATGCACTTTTGTTAAATTGTAATAGAGCATGACTTTGGATTCAATTCCGAACAGTCTTACGCACAGTTAAAATTGAACTCCAGCAGGTCTTTGATAGCACCTGTTGATTTTCATTCTCTTCCTCTAACTGACTGTACTTGTCTTATGTGTGTATGAATCAAATGAAAAATAAGCTACATTTTGAGCTATAAGTCAAATCCTATAAAGATTAACACTTTCGATCATGTGATTTTTATTAATTTCACATAATTGTTCGAAAAAAATATTTAAAGAATAGTAATGATGCATTGATAATGGGCACAATAAAATCATAAATACAGTTTTTAGATTCATTATAATAAAGCAACATTCCTACTAATCGGTAGAAGTAATTTCCCATATAAATGCACATCGTGTCATGGTTTTGGTGTGAATGTTCTCTTATCAATGGACAATTGTTCTAGTACAAAAGCTGGATGATGATAAACGATTCTGCCTCGACTATTAAAAACCCATCATTATCCTTGAACACAAAACAACACCACCAGTATGCTAAATGTCAACATTAAATACTGCCATTAGGAAACTCATAGTTAAATACTCTTGACACAGTGCCTGGATATTAGCAGTTAGTGATATTTTCAGGTTTCAACACGAAACCTTCTAACGGCGATTTAACTCTTCTGTCTGATTCCATTCCATACTCAAATGGAAATCGGCTAAAAATCCTTAAATGCCTTAGTTTTTTTGGATTTTCATTGCATGTGAGCAACAAGAACAGTGATAACCAGTCTCGACTCGATAAAAGTATAGACAAAGATTGGGGCAAGGCAAATAATAGCCTTCTTTAATTACTTCGAGTTCCACATACACAAAATTTAAGTGAACAATAATTTGTAAGCAAAACCTGAATTCACCACCGAATACACAGTATGATGATTCCCATATGATGCTAAACAGTTATATAACTCCAAATTCCATGATAACACAAAACATAATACACATGAAAATCAAAATTCCGCGATTATTACAGTCCGTTTAACGAAACACATTGTAAGGAACTCCGTCAATATAAGTAGGGACGTTAAATAACCCCTGTCTAACCTTTGCAAAATATATTGTACGAAGGCGAATTTGTCTTAATCTTTCATCAGATATCTGTAATATTTTTCTTGAATACCCACGTTCAATATGGAAGACCATTTGATCCATTATTGATATGATTCAAGACACAAGTTCACAAAGAGCACAATTCCATTTGTCTGACACATTCATCCATCCACCAATACGATGTGTTTTAAAGCACATGTTCCAGAGACACACCACCATTATAAATTCCAGAACACAATCACCGCCCTTCAACACTGCTCTGTCTTCTGACATAATACGGTGTTCTCTGAGGCTCTCCTGCTGATACTATCAATAGAAATCAAATTTGTTTTAACATTTGATTTTGTATACCTACTACCTACTATTCGAATTTAATATAGATACTTTTGGCCTTATGCAGTCATTTTGAAAAATTATAGCGCTACAACTGAAATTATGTTCCTTGAACCACCGAACCAAATATTTAGACGACTATATCCCCTATCAAGAGAAGCTTTTCGAGTGGTTTAAATAAGGTTGAACATAGCCTGCCTTTAAATCCAAACGAAACACAATACTTTTTTAAATTGAAATAAAAAAAACTAGTCTATTGGACTCATAATCAGTTGCGTTTCTACAGAGAGAAGAAAGGAATTTTTAACAATTGACACAGTGAAAGAATAGCCGGTGGCCCGTAGAAAATTTTGTGGCCCCCCTCAACAAGTATTTCCTAGAAACGGCACTGCTCATGATATAATTAACTTACATGCTAGTTGGACGAAATTCATTCCCCAAATGATACTCCATACCCATCCAACAATAACAATAAACGAGATCATTTGAAGAAGTGCTGCTAGTAGATTGAATGCCCAAGCTTTTACAGGTTTACCCATTCTGGTATCACAACCACATAATGCTGTCCATGAGGCGAAAAATGTTCCTGGAAATAGAAAATTACGATGAATTCAATTGGTGCATATAACAGATAGTGCATAATTGTGGTGAAGGGTAATATCCTATCACGATATTCATCTGAGGATATGATATTATTGATGCAGTTGCATCTTGATATACACATGGGATACAATGCGCATATCGGTATATGCCTATAACGTATCGTGATATACACATGTAAATATATTTCTTTATACATCTGGTACAAGGGAAAATCGATATACACATGGCGACGCGACATGCATCTCAATGTAAAGAGGACGGCAATATATCGATATAAACCGATTCATATGTTCAGATGTTGAACAACAGAAAAATGATTTCCTCTCCCAATTACACCTCTACCTTATTTTTCAAACATTGAAAAATATGATTTTTATACGTTTTTGCCCCAAAATATGTTTAGGTTTTTCTAGGGATAACCCTCGCAGGCGCTCCATGAGAGGCTTGAATTTAGCTTTGACAGTTGTCCCCCATTGAGTCAGCTCGCCCCCTATCTGTACCCCTTGTCTCGTTAGGCTGGCGCCGTCACAAGCTGACTTTGTGTATGAGGAATTATGATTTTAAAAAAATCCAATAATATGTTGTAAAAATATACCTTTTACAAATTGCGAAATTCTGATTAAATAATGAGTGAAATGGTTTGAATTGGAAAGATGAAAAGTCACCAATATCAAAGGGCAACAGCTTTGTTTTCACAACATGAATAAAAGAAATCATCACCAGGAAGCAAATAGCTCAAAGTAAGAAGCCATTAGTTGTGCAATAAAGGCAATGACCAAAGCTTTATTTGTAGAAACCCAGTGACGTTAATAATATGATGGCCTTGAACGTTTTTCTATCATAGCTAGATTTCGTTTCTTCGAATAACAATAAATGAGATGTTTTGATTTGTAGAACTGGAATTATAATCATATCCTTTAGTTCAAGGAGGATATGCTAAAATGATAATCTTTCGTAATCGAGGTTCACAGTCTAATTAAAATTAGACCAAGCTTTCGTTCCGTTTTAATTATCTTTATGTTTAATATAACCACTTCAGGTAGGGTCTAACGACGGCACTCTTAAACGTTCGTCAAATTAACATTTTGACGTAATTCGATGATGTCTGCTTTAACCAAATTTTAAATAAATATCAAATTTCACTCCAGCGCTAGCATTTTGTGACGCGGTGTTTATTAGGTCATAAGGTTAATTTGACGAACGTTTAAAAGGGCTGTCGTTAGACCCAACTAAGTGGCAATATTTGAAATAAAAGCTAATAGAAAAATACGAAACGAAAGTCTGGTCAATTTAATTAAACGGCGATGACTAGTGACATCAGGTGTTCCGGATGAGCAGAGAAAAACGATAGAGGTTCTCTTTACAGATACAATCCCTTTAAACTTTAATTAATCTGTTTTCGAGAACTCTCAAGACATGAACTCATCTATTTGCATTTCTATTTTCTTTCATATGTTTTCTTCCTTAATGACATTACCAGTGAATGACATATTGGTTAGAGAATGATCGTAAAACCAAAAAACAACTTGTTTAATGACACAATTTGTATGATAAATCATCCTCCTTATTTTATCGTTTTTTCATGATTAACCGCTTCTGTTGTTGATTGGCATTGTTAACCTCGCTACACTATGCCTGTTACATTCCTTGACAATTGGTTATGATGCCAATCTGGTTAAAATGCAGTTATTAACATCTCTTTTTCTAATACTTCAGAATTTCTAATCTCTACTGAAACCTAGAAAGTCGTACCATGAGGTCGTTATTGTGAAGGGTCCGCGTGGCTCATGATATGGAATTTTGTTCATTTGCGTTACGATGTCCAAAATGTCGCCTTGCCATGATAACATAATACGATATAGGAGGGGAATGTTAAAAATTCTTACTCATTCCTGCACATTGTTGTTGTATTTGGAAATGAAAAAACGGAAACTATTTGCAATTATAAAATGACCGAATTTGATCCCCGTATTATATGATCTTATTATGTCATTATTGTCACTATAATAATACGTAATATGACCAAAATGTTGTGTTACAAAAATAAACTGATAATTTGACTGCAGTTGGCAATTATTTTCATCTGCTCCAGCACATAGTTCTACGCACAAAATGTGTTTCAAAGTTTTTTTTTTATCATACATACATGTATTGATATTTCTGGAATTTAGTGCTTAAAAGGGATTACAAAGAGGTTTTCCAACTTCTATTTGTATTGGGGACAGTTATAGCATTCCAATTTCCAATCTGTTGTTCATGTAATTGCACTTAAAATGTGGACTTAGTTTTAGTGGAATTGCAAGAGTCACAGACGTCTGATTGAAAATTGGAATGGAGCAAATGGATGCTATCAGTGTTCCCTTTTATCCTTTTACAGGTACTGCA